GAAAGGGGCTCGTCGACTTTTTCTAAGAGACCATTTTTTACGAATAAATTTGACACTACACACTCTTATTCACTATTTTTATGAGTTATTGTCAGAAACGAACATACCTTACACCAAATAATACGTACAGAATAGAAGATGCGAAATGAACCAGAAGAAAATGCCAATAACTTGATCGTCAGTGAAGAAAAAGAAATAGACGTGTTAGCATAAATATGTTGAAGTAGATTGTACAGCGCCAATTCGGCAAATTGTTATAGAAAGTGACATGAGTTATTCATTCGTTTGGAGAATCCTTCACAAATATATATATATATATATATAAATGATTGTCGATCATTCAAGTACCAATTACGCCAACATCCTTACGTTGACCATCACAACCGAAGATTAACTTATTGCAACTGTTTTTTACTAAATACAGAGCAGATGTACGATTTCCGTTTCAAATTATTTATTAGACAAAAGTCGGTTTACCAACTTGGGTATGTTCAATCGGAATAATAAAAGTTACTGGCCACAAACAGACTTACGTATAATGCAAGAAGGAAATTCTCAAGAGCGATTTGGTTTCAATTGCTGGACGGGTACTATCGGAGAAAAACTCTACTGCGAAAAGATATCTGCAGTTCCTAAATAACTAAATAAATGGTTTCATTGAAGATTTGCCACTGGCTAACCAAGTTAGTATCTATATTCAACAAGCTGGGGCTCCACCTCATAATTCTCATGGGGTAGGAGAGCATCTTAATAACACCCTCCCAGGAAAGTGGATTGGCACTACCTAATCGACCTACTCAATGGTACATCCTTAAATTGTCATATTTTTTTAGAACGTCTAATTTATTTTTCATATTTTGGATCACCAGATCTTACTCCGTTAGATTTTTTTTCTTTGGGGAACAATTGAAAATCAGGTGCTTAAAGCTATGTCAACTGCTCACAAAGAACTGGAGCATAAAGTAAGGGCGACATGACCGAACATCATGACGTTAATCAATGTGGTGCAAACAACAATTATTGATAAGTTGAACTTTGCCTTGATCAATAAGAAGGCCGTTTTGAACACTCAGAACCTTAATGGCACATTTTTGAGTTTTATTTTTTGTTGTAATGATGATAGGATGTGTATTCAATTCCTTTGTGTAGCTTATTCCAATATAGGCCAAGACGTCTATTTCGTCTGGTTCGTTGCACATTTTGCATTTCGAAAGCAACACCTTCAATTGTTTGTCAAGGATAACTGGAATAATATGACTTAGCGAATAGGCATACCGAATGCAGATACGTACTATTTTTTATTAGGTACAATTATTCAGGAAAATAGTGTAAATAATATAAGAGTGTGTAGGGTCAAATTATTCGGAAGAAAGTGGTCACTTAGAAAAAGCCGACGAGCCACCCTCTTTCTGTTTGAAAAAATCAAGTAAACTGAAAAAATAAGTATTTGTAACTTTTAGAAAATCCTTAAAACGACTGCTAGGTTGTTCGCCTCAAAATCGTATTTTTCCCGTGTCACTTGATCAAAAATTAAGCGATACACAGGATCCATGGCATTCTAGATCGAAAAATAAGAATTGAAATAAAAATGACTTTATTTGTCAAATATTGAGAAGTGAGGCGTTGTTGAGTTCAGAATGTCATTCTCGGTCGAAATAAGTAAAATATATAGGGTGTCAAATTTAGAAACTGAAAGTTTGAGTCATTTCCGGTCAAACCAGAAATACTTCAATGCAAGTAGATATATCAAAAAATGTAAAGAAGGTGGGCTGATAAGAGCCATTTTTCGCCCATCAGCGACATATATATTTATGAATAACAAATAAAACATACTTATTTTAAATGAAAACTGAAATTCGTGGTATACATAAATTAAGTAATTATCTGAGTGTTATATATGTGTATTAAGCAATAATAAAAGATAAAGAGTTTTCATACACCTCACTATCAGACCATCCTTCAGTATCATCAGACTTGCTTGTTTTAGTAAGAACTCTTGTTATCCTTAGAGAAGATGAAGTGGGAGCCTTTTGAGATTGAGCCACGCGGAATGTATATGTTCTGCATTTAGGACACAATTTAGAACCAATCTGCAGACCACAGATTTTAGATTTTCTAAGTATTGCTATAATGTTTTTGTACGAGCTGCTACGGATATCACTGTTTGTTTTTCGCCACGTTTTACAACAATAACACTGGTATCCAGGGATTATTGTTTTATCAAGTTTTGCAATAAACGTTGAACGCGACAGCACAGCACAGCTTCTATACCTTTACTACGTAAATATACTAAGTGGCATATAAATCCGAAAACCCAGTTTAAATGGTTTTATTTTAGTAAAAGTTGGTGTATGTATTTATCTTACTGTAAATAATAAGTGAAAAAATTTTCAGCCTTATCAGTTGGACATTCCGGTTTTTATACTGCTTTTTTTTTAATTCACTAATAGTAAAGAATCAACGTTGGCGGATTTTGGTTCTTGACATCCTTTACGATCGGTTACGATGCCTAGAGTACGGAGACCTGTACGATTTCGTCAACTTAGTGAGTTTGATAGGGGCCGTATAGTGGGACTTCGGGAAGCTGGACTTCCTTTTCGGGCAATTGCAGTTAGAGTGCAAAGAAGTGTAGACACTGTGGTTAGGTGTTGCCAGGCATGGCTTCGAGAAGGCCGTACGTAAAGAGCAAGGGGCACTGGACGCCGCCGTAGAACAACAGACCGTGAAGATCGCCGCCTAAGATTATTGGCCTTAAGGGACCGTTTCTCCACTACCAGGTCCATTGCAAATGAATGGTTTGCAGAACACGGAAGACCTATTGGCATGCGAAGTGTTTACCGACGAATGAGAAGTTTTGGCTTGTTTTCATACCGGCCACACTGGGTCCTCCCTTTAACTCGAGAACACCGACGTAATCGCCTTGAGTGGTGCAGACAACGGTCACTCTGGGATAAGGAATGGAACAGTATTGTCTTTAGTGACGAGTCTCGATTTTGTTTAGGCATGCACGATGGTCGTGCCAGGGTTAGAAGGCGACCTGGTGAAAGGAGGAATCCACAGTTTTTGTTGAAAGACATGTTCATCACACTGTTGGAGTTATGGTTTGGGGTGCTATAGCTTATGGTTCCAGGTCACCATTAATCTTCATCAGAGGTAACATGAACGCGCAGCGTTATATCCACGAAGTTCTAGAACCCCATCTTTTACCCTATATTGACACCCTGGCAGATCCAACTTTCCAACAAGATGATGCCCGACCACATGTTGCAAGAGTCACAATAGACTTCTTTCAACATAATGATGTCACATTGTTACCATGGCCACCAAGATCTCCCGACTTATCCCCAATTGAGCACGTGTGGGATATGATGGGTAGGAGATTGCTCAATTTGCAACGTCCTCCTCAGACTCTAGAAGCACTTCGAGAGGAGTTGGTGGTTGCCTGGAATGAGATACCACAGGATCACATTGACCACCTGATCAGAAGCATGCCTAGGCGCGTTGGAGAATGCGTAGTACATCAGGGTGCATCCACACATTATTAAAGGTCAAAGGCCTTTAAAGCAGTGCAATCATTTTGAAATTTTTATCATTTACTTATTATGCTTCATTAAGTACAAAATTTTATTAAAATAAAACCATTTAAACTGGGTGTTCGGATTTATATGTCACTTAGTATACTTTTCGAGCGCGAAAACTCATGTCTGAACACGCAACGACTGCAGCGTAAGTCACACTCTCTCGCGGCATATATTACGTATTTTTTTATTGATGCTCTCACTGAAAAAAAACAAATAAATACTCGTATACAAGCTTATAATAAGTAGACCCATTGAGCATTAAAGTTAATGTGGTTCATGGAACCCTTCGTAAGGAAAACATGATTCAAAGATCGAAAAACAACAAAAATGAACAAAAAGTGTACTCTATTTCTTGGCAATAAGTTCTGAAGCATATTACACTATTTATACCGTAAATATTATATAATGAAAAAATAAACGTCGTGAAGTTCACAAATAAATTCAATAATAGTCTGGAATCGAACTTTTTATTTTTGAGTGTTTTTCTATCTTTAATAATAAAAAAGTTACAGGGGTGATCCACCTTAAAGAATCACGCGGTATAACCTGTGCCTCAGTAAATTCTCAAGGTTCTTAGTATGGATACATGTGTATCTGTATAAAAAACAGAACAAGCTGCGTGTGAAGTATTAAATACTCTTTTTACTTGTACGTGTATACTATAATTTATGTTCGTGCATTGCAAACCTATGTCCACCGCGGCTCTAGACAGTGGCATCGATTCAAGGGGTCCAATTTCCTATGACTGTCACATAGATCCAGCTAAATCTGAGCGATGACCTGGATAATGCTCACTTTGTCGGCATTGGTAAATTGTAGTTCATTGGATAGATTTGCCACTTCAAGTTGTTTGAGTAAATTGTGGTGACCATTAGCGTCAAACAAGTGGCTTAAGTCAATTATAATACAATTATTTCTATATTAGGCTTTTTCTAGTGACAGTTCTAGTCAATAAGCAGCAACTCAACGATCTCGCCAAAACCAAAATAAGCCAGGTCATCCTTGCAGTGAAGCAAAACTACAGGGTGTTTCAGAACTATGGGATCAAACTTGTAGGGGTTATTCAGTGTAACAGTAGAAAACATTTGAGTATAGGGATCCATATCCGGCGCTTGTGTGTTGTTATCTTTAAAAACGATAATAGAGATTGTTTCTTGTAGCTGCATTCCATATCGCCTTCGTGCTATCGTATTTGTGAAGTTTGCAAGAATTTAACAAAAAATAATTGTTGCGAATGGAAAACTTTACCAATCAAGAATTGGGGCATATGCATTTTTGGAATAGGGAACAACAAGCTGCAATGCACGAGCAGCAGCACGGTTGTATCAAGAACGTTATCCCGAACGACAGCATCCGAGATACAACAAGTTTATTGCTATTCATCGGCGGCTCTCCGAGACAGGCATGTTTAAAACCAACATGCATGATACTGGTGTTGCTCGAACCGTAAGAACGGTCGAATTTGAAGAAGAGGTCCTTCAGCCAGTTGCTGACGAACCATCAAGTAGCACACGTCACATTGCTGAGGATATGAATACGAGTAACGCTTCCGTCTGGCGGGTGCTACACGAGCAACAACTTTGTCCTTACCACACTTGTCAATGACTTCTTCATCAAATCGCTGCACAACCAAATTCTTTACGCTACGTTTTATAGACTGATGAAGCCTTTTTCACAAGGGACGGTATTTTTAATAGTAGGAATAGCCACGTGTGGGACAAAGAATATCCCCATGCAATTTCTCCTAGAAAACATCAGCAACGTTGGTCTGTCAACGTATGGGCAGGCATTGTTGATGATTATTTCATTGGGCCATACCTTCTACCGGAACGGTTAACAGGACCTATTTACTGGCGTTTCTTGGAGGAAGTTCCTCCAGAACTTCATGAAAATGTTCCATTGAACGCTCGACAGCAAATGTGGTTTTAGCATGATTGAGCGCCGGCTCACTTTGCTGTACAAGTACGTATTCGGCTCAGCGGTTTGGGCTCCGCTGGATTGCCAGAGGTGGAGCAGTCCCTTGGCCACCTAGATTATCCGATTTAACGTCGCTAGACTTTTTCCTGTGGAGACATGTAAAGTCGTTGGTTTACGAAACTCCAGTAGAAACAGAGCAAGACTTAATTGGATGAAATACAGCAGCATTTGAAATCATGCAAAACGAGTAACAAATTTTCAGTCAAGTCCGCCGAAATCATGTGCGACGTTTAAATCACCGGTGTGAAGTTGGCAGACAAAATTTAGCGGACAATTTGCCGAAGATACCCGAATGACCAGTGGCGTCGACATCCTCGATCAGACTGTGATTGTGAAGGATACAGCTAACAGCTCGCAACAATAAATATATATATATATGCACGAGAATAAGCACCCCTATAGGAAGAATCATTTTCCACCCTAATTAAATAATTGGTAGGAACAAGAGTTAACCCACAACCTTTCTTCGAGTTTTCACTTACCGATTACTGTATTGAAAGTAATTAATGAGCTAAATAGCATATACTGAGAAAATCTCTAAAGGGGTGCTAGATGAAAAAATATAAATAAAACTTCATTTTCACCCCCAAAAAAATGATTCCACAAAATGATTTATATCTCAAAAAAATACTCTATAACAGAGACAATTCATGGGCTAGGTGGCATGGTGTGAGAAAGCTTCTGAAAGGCTGGCAGATAAAAAAATATGCTAAAAAATTCATTTTCACCCCCAAGGAAATGATTCCCCAAAATCAGTTGTACCTCAAAGAAATAGTCTATTATAGAGACAATTTATAGGCTAGGTGGCATGGTGTGAGAAAGCTTCTGAAACGCTTGCAGATAAAAAAATATGCTAAAAAATTCATTTTCACCCCCAAGGAAATGATTCCCCAAAATCAGTTGTACCTCAAAGAAATACTCTATTATAGAGACAATTTATAGGCTAGGTGGCATGGTGTGAGAAAGCTTCTGAAAGGCTGGCAGATAAAAAAATATGCTAAAAAATTCATTTTCACCGCCAAGGAAATGATTCCCCAAAATCAGTTGTACCTCAAAAAAATACCCTATTATAGAGACAATTTATAGGCTAGGTGGCATGGTGTGAGAAAGCTTCTGAAACGCTGGCAGATAAAAAAATATGCTAAAAAATTCATTTTCACCCCCAAGGAAATGAATCCCCAAAATCAGTTGTACCTCAAAGAAATACTCTATTATAGAGACAATTTATAGGCTAGGTGACATGGTGTGAGAAAGCTTCTGAAAGGCTGGCAGATAAAAAAATATGCAAAAAAATTCATTTTCACCCCCAAGGAAATGATTCCCCAAAATCAGTTGTACCTCAAAAAAATACTCTATTACAGAGACTACTCATAGGCTGGATGACATGGTGTGAGAAAGCTTCTGAAAGGCTGGCAGATAAAAAAATATGCTAAAAAATTAATTTTCACCCCCAAGGAAATGAATCCCCAAAATCAGTGGTACCTCAAAGAAATACTCTATTATAGAGACAATTTATAGGCTAGGTGGCATGGTGTGAGAAAGCTTCTGAAACGCTGGCAGATAAAAAAATATGCTAAAAAATTCATTTTCACCCCCAAGGAAATGAATCCCCAAAATCAGTTGTACCTCAAAGAAATACTCTATTATAGAGACAATTTATAGGCTAGGTGACATGGTGTGAGAAAGCTTCTGAAAGGCTGGCAGATAAAAAAATATGCTAAAAAATTCATTTTCACCCCCAAGGAAATGATTCCCCAAAATCAGTTGTACCTCAAAAGAATACCCTATTATAGAGACAATTTATAGGCTAGGTGACATGGTGTGAGAAAGCTTCTGAAAGGCTGGCAGATAAAAAAATATGCAAAAAATTCATTTTCACCCCCAAGGAAATGATTCCCCAAAATCAGTTGTACCTCAAAAAAATACTCTATTACAGAGACTACTTATAGGCTGAATGACATGGTGTGAGAAAGCTTCTGAAAGGCTGGCAGATAAAAAAATATGCTAAAAAATTAATTTTCACCCCCAAGGAAATGAATCCCCAAAATCAGTTGTACCTCAAAGAAATACTCTATTATAGAGACAATTTATAGGCTAGGTGGCATGGTGTGAGAAAGCTTCTGAAAAGCTGGCAGATAAAAAAATATGCTAAAAAATTCATTTTCACCCCCAAGGAAATGAATCCCCAAAATCAGTTGTACCTCAAAGAAATACTCTATTATAGAGACAATTTATAGGCTAGGTGGCATGGTGTGAGAAAGCTTCTGAAACGCTGGCAGATAAAAAAATATGCTAAAAAATTCATTTTCACCCCCAAGGAAATGAATCCCCAAAATCAGTTGTACCTCAAAGAAATACTCTATTATAGAGACAATTTATAGGCTAGGTGACATGGTGTGAGAAAGCTTCTGAAAGGCTGGCAGATAAAAAAATATGCTAAGAAATTCATTTTCACCCCCAAGGAAATGATTCCCCAAAATCAGTTGTACCTCAAAAAAATACTCTATTACAGAGACTACTTATAGGCTGGATGACATGGTGTGAGAAAGCTTCTGAAAGGCTGGCAGATAAAAAAATATGCTAAAAAATTAATTTTCACCCCCAAGGAAATGAATCCCCAAAATCAGTTGTACCTCAAAGAAGTACTCTATTATAGAGACAATTTATAGGCTAGGTGGCATGGTGTGAGAAAGCTTCTGAAACGCTGGCAGATAAAAAAATATGCTGAAAAATTAATTTTCACCCCCAAGGAAATGATTCCCCAAAATCAGTTGTACCTCAAAAGAATACCCTATTATAGAGACAATTTATAGGCTAGGTGACATGGTGTGAGAAAGCTTCTGAAAGGCTGGCAGATAAAAAAATATGCAAAAAAATTCATTTTCACCCCCAAGGAAATGATTCCCCAAAATCAGTTGTACCTCAAAAAAATACTCGATTACAGAGACTACTTATAGGCTGGATGACATGGTGTGAGAAAGCTTCTGAAAGGCTGGCAGATAAAAAAATATGCTAAAAAATTAATTTTCACCCCCAAGGAAATGAATCCCCAAAATCAGTTGTACCTCAAAGAAATACTCTATTATAGAGACAATTTATAGGCTAGGTGACATGGTATGAGAAAGCTTCTGAAACGCTGGCAGATAAAAAAATATGCTAAAAAATTCATTTTCACCCCCAAGGAAATGAATCCCCAAAATCAGTTGTACCTCAAAGAAATACTCTATTATAGAGACAATTTATAGGCTAGGTGACATGGTGTGAGAAAGCTTCTGAAAGGCTGGCAGATAAAAAAATATGCTAAAAAATTCATTTTCACCCCCAAGGAAATGATTCCCCAAAATCAGTTGTACCTCAAAAAAATACTCTATTACAGAGACTACTTATAGGCTGGATGACATGGTGTGAGAAAGCTTCTGAAAGGCTGGCAGATAAAAAAATATGTTAAAAAATTAATTTTCACCCCCAAGGAAATGAATCCCCAAAATCAGTTGTACCTCAAAGAAATACTCTATTATAGAGACAATTTATAGGCTAGGTGGCATGGTGTGAGAAAGCTTCTGAAACGCTGGCAGATAAAAAAATATGCTAAAAAATTCATTTTCACCCCCAAGGAAATGAATCCCCAAAATCAGTTGTACCTCAAAGAAATACTCTATTATAGAGACAATTTATAGGCTAGGTGGCATGGTGTGAGAAAGCTTCTGAAACGCTGGCAGATAAAAAAATATGCTAAAAAATTAATTTTCACCCCCAAGGAAATGAATCCCCAAAATCAGTTGTACCTCAAAGAAATACTCTATTATAGAGACAATTTATAGGCTAGGTGGCATGGTGTGAGAAAGCTTCTGAAACGCTGGCAGATAAAAAAATATGCTAAAAAATTAATTTTCACCCCCAAGGAAATGAATCCCCAAAATCAGTTGTACCTCAAAGAAATACTCTATTATAGAGACAATTTATAGGCTAGGTGGCATGGTGTGAGAAAGCTTCTGAAACGCTGGCAGATAAAAAAATATGCTAAAAAATTCATTTTCACCCCCAAGGAAATGAATCCCCAAAATCAGTTGTACCTCAAAGAAATACTCTATTATAGAGACAATTTATAGGCTAGGTGGCATGGTGTGAGAAAGCTTCTGAAACGCTGGCAGATAAATAAATATGCTAAAAAATTCATTTTCGCCCCCAAGGAAATGAATCCCCAAAATCAGTTGTACCTCAAAGAAATACTCTATTATAGAGACAATTTATAGGCTAGGTGACATGGTGTGAGAAAGCTTCTGAAAGGCTGGCAGATAAAAAAATATGCTAAAAAATTCATTTTCACCCCCAAGGAAATGATTCCCCAAAATCAGTTGTACCTCAAAAAAATACTCTATTACAGAGACTACTTATAGGCTGGATGACATGGCGTGAGAAAGCTTCTGAAAGGCTGGCAGATAAAAAAATATGCTAAAAAATTAATTTTCACCCCCAAG